AGAAACACTTTCTGACCACCATGTTCCAGGTTTTGAAAATAGATGAATTAATGTACTCTCTGTTCACATGCAAGCTCAAATTAAGAAGAATAAAGGAGAGGATAAGACTCATTAAAATTTTGAGCTGTGAACACATAATCTTGGTGATTTTCCTGCTGGTAATAAACATTGTCATATGAAATTTGTACTAATCCTCATAAGGAAAAAAATATTAATTTCCTTGAACCGAATAAAATGTTTCAATGTAACTGCCTGAAAGTGCCTTTCTATTTTTCCTAGTTCCAATCACCATTTTTTTTTTTTTTTTTTTAGAAACTCTTCCCTAGCTAGTTGACCTAATTCAGGTATTTTATCTCCTGCTGGAGGACGGAGCCTGTACTGCAGTCTCTTTCTAGCTCCTCCCATGTTGCATTCCTTGATCTTAGCGGCAGTGTAGGGATGCACATGTGATTCCACTCAAACATAACCCATGTGAAAATTACTTACGTGACCAGGAAGAGATATTTTCTTTCTTCACCATTTAACCTGAGGGTATTCAAGACTGATTGGCGGGCGCTGCAGCTCCCTAGGCTAATCCTCTGCCTGCGGCGCTGGCATAAGTCGGGGCGCTGGATTCTGTCCCGGTTGCCCCTCTTCCAGTCCTGCTCTCTGCTATGGCCCGAGAGTGCAGTGGAGGACGGCCCAGGTCCTTGGGGCCTGCACCCGCATGGGAGACCAAGAGGAAGCACCCGGCTCCTGGCTTCAGATCTGCGCAGCGCACCAGCCATAATGGCCACTTTGGGGGTGAACCAACGGAAAAAGGAAGACCTTTCTCTCTTTCTCTCTGTCTCTCTCTCACTGTCTAACTCTGCCTGTCCAAAAAAAAAAAAAAAAAAAAAAAAAAAAAAAAGACTGATTGGCTCCAAGCCACTTTGCCACCGTAAGCAAAATGTATAGAGACAAATCATGGTCCAAGGGAGATCAGTGCTGGGATAAAATTTGAAGAAAATTTGTTCTGATATCATCAGAATCCCTGTATCTATGCAAGCCTGAACCTAGAGTAATCACTGGACTACACTGCTATGTCTCTTTCTTTATCAAAATAAGGTATATTCGATTAATTTACAGGTATCATATTGATTTCCAGAAAATTATATGAAATAATGACTGCAAAACATTGAGTGTGAAAGATTTATTTTCTCATTTCCACAATGTATTTAAAAAGTAAAAATTTTCTTAGTGGTTTAAGACTCATGTGTCTCCCATTGGGATACCTGGGTTCAATTGTTTTTTCCCAGCTCTAGTCCCATGTCTGCCCCATCCCTGGAAATTGTGGACATCTGGGGGATGAAATATAATACAAGAGCTTGCTCACTCTCTCTCTCCTTCTATCTTCCTCCCTCCCTCTCTCTTTGCCTCTCTCCCTTCTTTCTTCCCTTAATCCCTTTTCTTTTCCCTCTCCTGCCTCACACTTTTCTCCTCTCCCTTCCCCTCTCTGCTTTTCAATTAAAAGAAATGCATAGCATATGATAAGCACTCAGGAAAGAACACATAGTATATGGATCTGTCTCACTTCTCTATAAACTGATGATTGCCAGATTGTTGTTTCTGCTTATATTTGTGTTCATATATAGGAGAGGAGAGCAGAGTTGAAACAGTAAGGATGGTTGGGACTTTGAGGTACAGTGAAAGCACTGATGTGAAAAAAACTCAAGCTTCTTTTCTCCCCATTTATCTCAAAATTATGCAGAAATATAACTTAGAGTTCTTCCTATAATGTAGTTGACAACGACATCTTCCTAAATCTGTGGATTTTATCCAAATTTCATTGGTTGTTATTTGAAATTCTATTGATGAGTAAAAAATTTTGTCAGACCTAAAACATGCACTCTAAGATATTACATGCCCAAGCCATACACATATTACAGCATTTTTGGAAAATAATCTAATTAATTATATATATATAAATATATATATAAATTTAGTCCATAGATTATACCATCCAAGTAACTTTGAACAAAAAAGAGACTTAAAATTTGCACAAAAGAATCAAAATGACCTGCTGGAATTATTCATGAATATTTTCAACACCAAACGCAAATGATATAATATTTCCAATGTGATAAAAGTTACTGTGACATAAGAAATAAAAATAACATTTTCTTCTTTAACAAGTGATAATGTAAATTAATTTTAAAATTAACTATAGGAACCTGGCCTAATAATCTTTGAGCATAATCATTGCACTAGGAAATGGGTGTTAGGAAAGATAAAAGAAATATGCATAGGCACACCCACTGGGAATATTCTTATGAATAGGTGATCAAAAGCAATAAATGGCAGGTGTCTGGCGTAGTGGTTAGGGTGCTGCTTGGAATGTCCATCCCATCTCAGTGTGTGTGTGTTTGAGCCCAGCTCTGCCTCCCATGATAGGTTGTTACTGATATGCACCCTGCAGATGGTGGCTACCCTGCAGGCAGCATATGGTGGCTCAGGTCCATGTGTTGTGGGACACTTGAGTTGACGTTCAGGCTCCTGGCTTCAGGGTGGCCAATTGCAACGTTTACAGGCATTTACAGAGTGCACCAGCTGTTGGAAGACATCTCTCTCTCTCTCTCTTTCCCTCTCCCCTTCCCTCTTTCTCTCATTCTCTCTCTGTCTCTGTCTCTGTCTCTCTCTCTGTGTGTGTCTCTGTAACTGTGACTTTTAAATAAACAAAAATTTTAAAAATAACAAAATAATGGAAAACACCACTAGAGCTAGAATATTGGGAAAACAATACTGCTTAGAAAAGCTATTAATCATTAAACATATGTAAAGAACACATATTCAAATAAAGATAGATGTTAATAATTTATAGTAAAATAACAAGATAACAAAAATAAGACTGAACATATAAACTAACAAATACATAAAGTAATCCTCAAAAGTGAAAAAGAGTTGTTTTTCACATCTTAAAAAATGTGTTAAAGCAACCATGTTATTCACACTGGATATACTTGAAAATGTCACAGAAATAATGAATATAAAATATATTGAAAATAATGCAATAAAATATAGTGAAAATAAATATTCAATAATATATTGAAAATAAAAATATATTGAAAATAAAAATATATTGAAAATATTTAAAATACAGACAAGGTATTAGAATATCTATATTCTAAAAGGATGCTTTTTGTAATTTTCATTTATCTATTTATTTGACAGGTAAAGAGATGGAGACACACACATACACATACCCACCCTCAGAGGGAGAGGGAACCAGAGACCTCCCATCTGCTAGTTCACACCCCAAATGCCCTCAGTGGTGAGGACTGGGCAAGGGCTACAGCAGGAAGCTATGAACACAATTTGGGTCTCCCACAGGGTAGCAGGAATGCAATTACTTGAGCCATCACTGCTGCCTCCTAGGGGCTGAACTGGCAGGAAATTACAGTTAGGACCCACACCAAATATGACTCTTAGGTGGTATTTTGATATGGGACATGTGCACCTTAATATCTAGATTAGATATTTGTCCCAGAGGTAAGTTTTAATTAAACTAATTGACTAAAATATGAACACAATTTACCATGGATTGTTTTTTAAATGCCACATCAGAACATAGCCACAAGGACAATGGGCAAATAAGGTATCACTGCACAATCAAGTATTAAAGTTGAACAATAAGGAACATTGATAAGAAGAAGATCTGAACCAATGTCTTTTAAAAATAGTTATTTATTTATTTACTTATTTATTTATTTATAAATCAAAATAACAGAGAAGGAGGAGAAACTGAAAGAGATTTTCTATCAGCTGACTCACTCCTCAGATGCCTGCCACATTTAGGCCTGGGCCAGACTGAAGCCAGGAACCAGGAGCTTCATCTGGGTCTTCCATGTGGGTGGCAGGAGATCAAACACTTGGGTCATCTTCTTCTGCCTTTCCCAGGCCATTAGCAGAGAACTGAATTAAAAATGAAACAACCAGCACATGAACCCATGTCTATATGGGATGCCTGTGTCACAGGCAGTGGCTTTGGCTAAGCCGTAACCCCAGTCCCTGAACCAATATCATTGAGTCTTAATAGATCAATAACTGAAACCATGCTTAATTCCTCAGTAAACAAGCATATTTATAAAGTAAAAAAAAAAAAACAAGTATAGGAAAATATACTTTATAAAATATTTAGGGTAATATTGAAAATAATTACTATTGTTAATTTTTATAATGTTTATTAATGCTTAGAGAATTGGTTCTTCTGGTTGAAAATTATAGATAAAATCATAGTACATTTTTGAAAATATTTGACTATAAATGAGGAAAAATATTTTAAACTATTTTATATTAGTTTCTGTATGAACCATAAGTTTCCCAAATTCTACCTCCAATGATAATCAAATTCTGTGTCTTGTCATAAATGACTCCATTCTTTATTTTTTTTTTAATTTATTTATTTGCTTGAAAGGTGGAGTTACAGAGAGGCAGAGGCAGAGAGAGAGAGAGAGAGAGAGAGAGAGAGGTCTTCCATCCACTGGTTCATTCCCCAGGTGGAGTAGCCGGGATTTGAACCAGTGGCCATATGGGATGCCGGCACCATAGGCAGCAGGTTTACCTGCTATGCCACAGCGCTGACCCCTCTTTATTTTATTTTTAGGTTAAGTGGAATATATTTTGAATTATTAGTAACTCATAAAATGAACTAAGCTTCTCATAAAAGATTTATATCAAGGCTATTGCTAAAGAGTTATATTGCTGGATTTTAATAAGAGACTTTTTTTAAAAAATAAGAGACTTGTTGTCTTGTTCTTTTTAAAGAAACAATGTGTCACACATAGTTCAGAAATATAAAATCTTAGGCACAGTTAACTTAGAAGCTGCAGATATACAACTTGCCTACAGAAATGTGCAAACTCCATCTTTACTTTGTCATGATTCCCAGATCAGGTGCAGTTCTAGGAATCCACTGTGACATTGCACAATCCTAAAATCTGCATTGCTGGGCTTTTTAATATTTCTTCACCCTGTGCCTGGGAATCAAATGGGAAACTTGAGGAGCAGGACGTACTGCTGAACTCCATTAGGAAAATAGTTGACTGACTACCAGAGCGGCATAATCCTAGGACATCTTTACCTTCCCTGTCTTAGAAGATTTTCTTCATGCTGGGTGTAGTTCCTTAACTGCATCCATTAAAGACTAAGGTATTTGACTTTAATGCTTTCTGTCTTTAGAATCTCCATAATTAGCCACATCCTGGTATTTAAAATCAGTTTGACAATTATTTCACTGAATTTTTTTCTTACATGACAGATGACTTCCTGGACTATGGTTTATGCAACCAAAAAGAAAAAATACTGTTTACACAGAGAAAATTAGACCTCAGTGCATATATATAATAACAAAAGATAATCAAGAATCTATTTGGGACATGAAGGAAGGAAGATCCAAAAGGAAGTAAATTCAGGCAGAGTAATAAGGTGGGTGGTGTATTGTGGGGAGCAACTCGGACTAGACTGTTACTGGAATTAAGACTTATTCTATGCATCTGCTCTCCCACAATGTGGCGCTGGGAGAGGAGGAAACAGCTTCTACACAGCTGCCTCCAGTTCGACCAATAAACAGCAGGACCTGCTCCTGATTGGAGGAGAGCAGCGTACTCGGCGTGTGGGTAGCAGAGTTGGGATTGGTGGAAGAGGACTATAAAGGAGGAGAGAGACAACATGCACCAGGAACATCTATCTGAAGGAACACCTGTGTAGCCCCCGAGAGCCGGCCGGCGGTGTGCCGCTCCCCCGCGGAAGTGGGGAAAGTGGCAGGGGGAACCGCCCTTCCACAGAGGTGGAAGGGTCGGTAGCCAACCCGGGAAGAACCAGCAGCAAACCCGGGGAGGGCCGAGCAGACAAAAAAACAACGCAGGGTCCTGTGTCGTTCCTCCGCCAAGAGGGGGAGCGACATAATGGTGCCGTGACTCGGATATGAAGCCTAGGCAGGGTTTAGTGTCGTTCCTCCATGAAGAGGGGGAGCGACAGTGTATTAATTCTATCATGTTAAGTACCAAGTCCTCCATCGCTCTTGATTCATTGTCTTCTTGTTAATAATAATAACAATAATAAGAATATATTGAAATGCTTATGCTTGGGATTGCAGGATATCCAATTCCTGCTCACCACATCTTCAGAAATATTTATAGATTCCAAGATTTTTTATGTCATTTGTTGCTATGAGCTATCACCAAGTGCTTGCATTTTGATGATATATAAACCAACTTATAACAGTTTCTCAGTTTTGTAATTGATTGCTCTATTTGTCCTAAAACATGGAAACACATATTTACACATATTTTTTAAAGAAGAGGTGACAGGAGTTTCAAAGTTTTTGAAAAATTTCTACAAACCTGGTAAATTTACCTTTCCTGTAAACTCCTAGAATTGTATGCAAAACAAAAATTGCAAAGTTATTTCTAAGACATACTGTTTTTTGCAGTGACAGTGACAGACAGGGACTATAACGAGAGTAATTTAAGAGATTTAATATCCTCAAGTCCAAGGAATATGTCTTTTCCGTGTGACTCCAAAGATTTTGTAATGCATACATACGAGGCAAATATCACTAATCAACAAATAATATCATTGCTCTTAAATTCAATAAGTTATATCCCATAGCCTGGAATTACTTTCCAGTCATCTTCTACCTGGTACTTGCTTCTCCTCAAATTTAAATATTCTTTATTGCTTTTTCTTTCTATTAGTTCCCAGATTCCAGACACCATTCTGCTGTTCTTCATTCCTGTGACATTTCCATGTGTCTATCTAGTATCACTTACCTTCTGCCAAAGAAATTGTTTCTATTTTAGTGCCAGTCATCCAGAGATGAATTATCCTGGTTGTAGTTGTGAAAAAGTATTTATTTTACCTTTGCTTATAAAAAATAAGTTTGCTGGGTAGAGAATTCTAGTAATGCAACAGTTATTCTGTAATTCTTTAGTGATACAATGCTACAACATTCATCTTTCAAATTTCCTGTAGAAAATTTAGTCCTCCATTGAAAACCCAGCTCGTACTGGTTGTAGTATATTCGTGTACATTTTAGGAGTGTTTCTCATACCAGGGATGCACCAACATTCTAATAAATGTTAGTTAAAGTTATTGTTGAATTATCTTTAAGCAGCATCGGCAGAGATCTATCTTTCCATTGTTTCTGCTTTGTGACTTCCCAGGAGAGCTGCTAATTGCAGATCATGAGTTATGACACTCCTGGCACTGGCCCTCTTTCGATCAGCCCTGCCTTTTTCTGTAAAGTTATTGAGCTCTTCCTTTGCCTCTGATGTTGTCTTAACAGCAGGTTTTTGTTTTCTGTTACTCTGTAAGTCCGCAATGTTTGTTTCAAACACTTAATATTTTTGACATTTTTCCAACTGCTCCTTCTTGTTCTCTTCATTTACTTCAACATCACTTATAAAGCAGATGCAAGTTTGCCTGACTTGGCTGCATAAGATTGGCCAGGTTAATGAAGCAAATGTTTACACTCAGTTTTCAAAGCTGACTTTCCAGTTGCTTAAAATATTCTCTATAATTTCTTCCCCTTAAAATATTCCAAGCAGATTCTGGAAAATGTCTTGTTTTTTCTTCCATGAACTCTGGTAATGGATTCAGTATCTTTCCACCAATAGAACATTTGATTGAAAAATCTTACCCTCAACAGCTAGCTGGGGAAAATAACAGTTTTCTAAGTTAATGCATTCTTGGTGATCATTATGGAGAGATACACACAGGAAAGTTGTACCATACACTCTCAATTTCTTCCATTACTAACATCTATTGTAGTTTGATATATTTGTTAGAAATGCCGGGTGATACCAATATAACATTATTAGTCCTCTTGCATATTTTGTTGAGATTTCCTTAATTTTTACTTGGTGATTATTTTTCTCTTCCAGGATCCAAACTTTATGTGACACTACATTTTGTCATTCTGTCTCCTTAGCTTCTCTTGACTTTGACAGTTTCTCAATTTTTCCTTGCTTTTAACATTTTTGACTTATTTTGGCATAACTGGTCAGGTATTTTGTGTAATATCGCTTAGTTGGAATTTGCTTTCTCTTTTTCTCATGATTTACATTGGTTGGTTTAGGAGAGCATTGTATGTTTCATTTGAAACATTTCTGTTTAATGGATTCCAATTCTGTGGTTAAATTCATCTTCTTGATTACTCTTTTTTCTCCAATAATTTATTTGTTTATTTGAAAGGCAAAGCAACAAAGAGAGGGAGAGACAGAGAGAATTCCTATCAACTGGTGCACTCTCCAAATGATCCCAACAGCCAGGACTGAGTCAGGCCAAAACTAGAAGGCAGGAATACCATAGCTTCTAAATGGGTGGCAGGGGCTCAAACACCTTGGCCATCATCTGCTGCCTTCACAGGTGCATTAACTGGGAGCTTGATCAGAAGCAGAGCAGCTAGGACTCAAACTCAAATAGGCACTTGGATATCAGATGTCATCCTGGAAGGAACAGGTTAATCATCTGTTTTTCCACAATACTGGCCCCTACACTTCTTTCTTGATCATATTAATAAAGGCTACTTAAATGTCTATGGATGACAGTGTCATCATCTAGGGAGAATTTGCCCTCTCATCTGGAAGGAAGATGCATAGATTGGCAGCATATCACCTTAATTCATTCAAGCATGGAGCTGATGAACAGAGGCTGCTTTGCAGCCTTTGCAAGGCCTAGTCCACATTTGATTCCCCTGCCTAGAAAACAGCCCAATAAAGAAGCCAACTTGGGGCCGGCGCCGTGGCTCACTTGGGTAATCCTCCGCCTGCAGCGCTGGCATCCATATGGGCGCCGGTTCTAGTCCCAGCTTTTCTACTTCCAATCCAGCTCTCTGCTGTGGCCTGGGAAAGCAGTAGAAGATGGCTCAAGTCCTTGGGCCCCTGCACCCAGGTGGGAGACCGGGAAGAAGCACCTGGCTCCTGGCACAGCTCCATCAAAGCGGCCATTTGGGGAGTGAACCAACGGATAGGACAGAAGACTTTTCTCTCTGTCTCTCCCTCTCACTGTCTATAACTCTAGCTCTCAAATGAATAAATAAAATGTCAAAAAGAAAAAGAAAGAAAGAAACCAGCTGAGACTCTGGGGTGTCTGTGAGCCTCACATCCTTCTCAAGAACCAAACTCACCTTTTTTTTTTTTTTTTTCTTTTTTTCTTTTTAGCACTGTGCTACTAGAAGCTTTTTTCTGCACTTTATTTCTGGTTTCTTTTTGTCCTTCCTTTTGCAATTCAAGTCCTCAGCATATGTCTTAAGAGGAAATTGGAAGTTTCTGGATTTATTTCTTGTTCTAGTCTCACCAAGATCTTGGCTGCCTCCCAGTCCTGGCTACTTTGGTAGGCACAGCTCCATTTTTGTCTCTCCATCCTCATGAGATTGCCAAAACTTGTGCTGGCTTCTTTTCCATTAGCAGAGGCCATCCGTCGTGGCCCTTGGCTCAGATTTTTGCCAAAAACTAAGAAGTGCTTAAGAATGGAATCAGCTTCAGATTTCTCTCTTTGGGGAATCTTGGCCCCTAGAGTCTTGTTTACTTCAATGGTTTTCTATTAATTAAAAAAAAAAGTTTTTTTTTATTTAACTTCTTTTATTTTCTGGATGTTATAAAGAACATTGGTCTAGTGCAAGTTACATCAGAAGTTTAGAATTCCATTTGTTTCATGTATATAAAACATGGTATTTAAATTTCACTTTTTAATATAAATGTGAATATGGAAAAGCAACAATAAGAAGAGATACTTTCAGTTTGAATTCAAACGTTATACCTATAAAAGTGGTGAGCTATACTTGTGAATTAAGAATGCATTGCACCAAAATAGAAACCAAATACAAATAATTTGAACAAATAAGGATGAATGAATGACCATAAGAGAATGCACTATTGATATAATTAGTTTCACCAGGAATACAACTCAAAATCAATTCAATTTTGAAAGAAAAGTAATATTTCATATGGTTACATTTATTCATCAGCATTAATCTGGGGAACATACACATTGATATAATAGCTTAAAAATGTATTTTAAAATGTTTGTATTTTGATTTTATAATCTAGCTGCTTATATAATCAAAGCATTTTCTTGGAATATGGTTGGAATAATGAGTTAATTTAAGAGGAGATCCACATAGATGATCAGCATATAAAATCAACAAAGTTTCCAAAAGAAAAGCAGTGAAAATTAGACAATAAAAGAAAAGAGAGACTGATATCAAAATGAAGAAAAATAAGAATTAAAAGTATATGTGATTGATGTTTTTCTAAAAATGAACATAAAAAGGAAGGGGGAAATAATAAAATACCCATCTTCATCATTTGAATCACAGATTCAAAGTAATTTATTTGAAAAATCTCTGTCTTCAAAATGTTTTAAATGGTGCTTCAACTAGAAAGATAAAAATATATGGTGATACATAATAATGTTTAAAAGAT